TTTTGTTTTAAAAGGGGATTGTGGTAGTTAAAAACAAAAGTGGAAACTTCTTCTGAGTCGTTAAGATCTAGTGACGGGTTTTGGTCGGCAACCGGGTACTAGACTCTTTTTTTTTTTTACCGTAAATAACTTTGTTCACAGAATTTCAAATATTTATCAATATCAACTGTTGAATATCCACTGATGTGGTAAAAGCATGGTCAGTGTTTTGGTTGCATATATCGTTTTAGAGCAAAAAGAGTTCTTGGAAATTTTCAAAAATTTCAATGCCTAAAGTTTTTGATTGATTATTGGCTCTGGAGATCGTTCGGTATTAATTATCACGGCTTATTTTCCCAATATTTTTTCCTATATATTTTTTGATCTTATGATAATGATTAAATCCGTACAAGTAATTTAAAAAAATTTTCAACTTCACAGAACCTTCTCATTTGAATTGAATAAATTAACGCTGGAAAAAATTTAGAAGAAGTTTTCCTTTTGAACTGTCATCTTGAGCTGACTAGCTCTATTTTTGCTGATAATTTTGTTTTTCCGATGGTTTTGCGTGGCTTAATTTTTTGAAAATAATAAAATGGGATCGTTTTTTATTTTTATTCGAGATTTTCTGGGCTTTTTTGAACCAATCAAAAGTTTGTTTCTAGATTTTGATTTCTTAGTTTTTGGGAGTTTTTTAAAATTAAGTTCCAATTTTTATTTGTTATAATTTTTTTAAATACGCTTATTTGTTTTTGACTCAAATTGATTAAAAAAAGATAAGCAGTTGTTTAAAGATTTTTTTCGGAATTTTTTGTGTTTGGATTTCTTATCTTTGCCGTTTATAAAAGGTTTCATCGATCGTCTTATGAGCAATTTAATGCAGTTACTTGAGTTTGGTCTAAAATTGTTGCTTCTAGATTTTTAAGAGTCGATGAACGTAGTTCAGACTTTTATAAAGGTCGTGATGATTTTTATAGGAAAATCTTAAAAGTTGTTCACGCTCAAATTTGAATTTTTGCTGGAGTTTAATTGTATTATAGTTATCAGGTTGCCCAGCGAAAAAAAGCTACTGATCCAGTTTTCTAAAATTAGGTTAGTTGCATCAAAACAGTGTCAATCATAAACTTTTCTAGAGATTCAAAGAGCTTCAAGGCCATCTGTTTTTTTCTTTTAACTGCGATTTTTATTCAAAAAAAACAATTCTATACTGTTTTTACAGTGTTCTTTTTACTGTTCACTTGCATGTTTTGAGCCTCTTTTGCTACTGTCTGTTGGCTGTTTTTTAAATTTGCTGCTGATTATACGAACTCGCGAATCAGAATTTTTTTGCTTTCTATTTTTTGCGTTGCAAGTGGTGCGACGATCGGCTTAGCCTCCGTGTCTCAATTTCAGTGCTTCTGAAAGTTTCAGTAGCATAGATTAAAGGGGCCATCACTGAAAGTAGAAATGAAGACAAATAAGTCAATAAAGACGCAGATGTATAACTCTAACCACTTCATCAAACTTAACTACAAAGGATACGATGTTTCAAGTTCCATTTCCACCCCATTACAAAAGCGCGAATGGCGCAAAAAAAAGATTTTTGTTTCGATAGTTATAAATTTTCGGTAGAAATTGGAAACAACTATTGAAAATTACCTATTGAAAATACAACCTATTGATCTTCCAGTTTTCTGTACTTGAGCTTGCTTTATGAAAGAAGTGTCGATCATAGACTATTATCAAATTTCAGAGGTTCAATATATATTTTGTTTTCTTCGAAATTCGAAAGTTTCAGAAAAGTCAGTTTTTTCTTCTTGATATGTTGAAACTTTGCCAACTGTTTGTTGGCTATGTTTTATAATTTGGATTGTGAGAGAAATTCCCTTTTCTGTCAGTTTTTCATGTGCTCATCTGTTGAAAAACAGCATGTGCTCGTCTGGTGAATGGTTATGCTTTTTTAGTTTCTTTTCATGGCAATAGAGCTTCTTATCAAGTCAATGGAGCTTTATATATGGAGAACACTTTTTTTTACCATTGAGAAGTCACACTTTTCTGTGTCAAATTTTTTTGTGCAGTTTGTATAAAGAGTTGAGCTAAGTTAGGTATCTTCTAACTGCATGAGCTATATCCACAGAACTGAATAAATAAATTTTTAAAAATAAATAAAACAAATAAATCATAAAGAAATTTATAAAAATTGAAGTGTCGAGAAAAACCCGTTTGAAGTTTTTGATTTGTGGTCTAATTTCGAGTGAATAAGGTGAGCGAGCAGCAGGCTCAACTTTTTTTTCAAATAAAAGTATTTACCCCAAATAATCATCAAAATGAGTGGGGTCATTTCTCATATTAAACACCTTTCAGTCCTGGTTCGAACGACAAAAAGTTCGAAGTTTTCAAAAAATTGCCCCAGTATCGAGAAAAACTGGTTTGAAATTTTTGATAGTTACTCTATTGTCCCATTTGCCTATTTTAGTATGACTGTCGAATATTCCCAAGTTTAAGATTTTTATTCAGACCCGTTTATCACACCACGCAGAAAATACAACAATAGTTTGAAAAAAATCATACGTACTTTTTTAAGAATATGATTGGAACATTCTATACTACTTGCACAGCAACCGGCTATACTTTTTACTGTTTAGAAATAATTATAAACGGGACCGATGAAAACAATTTTTTTTTTGTCGGTACTTCAATGTCATTACTTGAACGGTACCACTGGATACACGAAATCACCGGCCCAATAACGCGATACTTTTCTTTCAGGTGTATAGATGTCTGAGGTACGAGCTCGGCTAAATGGAGAAGCTCACTATGCCATAGTTTGTACAGACTGCAGTGTAGATTGCGTAATACCTTTCGATTTATTTCAAGAATTGGGATACGATGAATGCGACGTTATTCCCATCAATGGTCGCATCCGTTCTTCTGCAAAAGTTTACACTATGGGGCTCACAAAAAGATCCTTTACTTTGGAGTTACAGCCTTTTAGACGATACGATAATGCGTTTGAGGTGCGGCCGTTTGTTATCAATGGACCGCATGCCCGTTTTGCAATAAGCTCTGATCTTGTTGATGAATATGATTTGGAGAATGACCGCAGGTCAAAATTGTACTTGCCCGATGGAAAGGAACTGGATTTGCATTTTGTCTGCTTTCCTTCAAAATTTCAATACGATAATGAAGGCTGTGTTGTTGTTTATGTCGATGGATCTTGCCATGGTGAGAAAGTTTCTTTAATTTTTTTTTGAAAGATGAATCCGATTTTCGGTCGACTTTATCTTCCTTAAGTGCAAAAGAACGAAGTGATTTTTTAGGTCTTGATTATTAAGGTTCAGTGAACGTAGTTCAGACTCTTGTACAGGTCGTGATGATTTTTTTTCAGGATAAGTCTTAAAATTTGTGCACACTCAAATTTGATCTTTCGCGGCTTGACTTTTGGTTGCTTTTAAGTTCAATTCATTATCTTTGTTAATAAAATCAATAATCAAAAAGCAAAAGTGTAAAGATCACAAAAAACGTGATTGACTTTTAGTTTCGAAAAGGCGATTTTAATTTTCAGATTTCCTAGCGGAATTTACCAATTGATCCAGTTTTCTCAACTTGGGTTATTTTATCAAAAAAGTCACAATCAAAAAATGTTCTCAAAATTCAAAGAGCTTCAAGACCATTAATTTGTTCTTTGAAAATCGAAAATTGTATTTTTTCAAAAAGTCATTTTTTTTCTGTTTCCTTGCGTTCATTGTGACTCTTTACCAACAGTCTGTTGGCTACTTTTTTTTTCAGCAAAATTCTTATAGTTGTTTTTCGCTCAATTTTGACTTTTCGCTGTTTGACTCTGATTTATTTACATGGAATCAAATTTGGAGACGAAAATTTGTTGAAAGGTTAAATTTTTTCGCATTTGGCTTTCTCTACGTGAATAAGTTTACATTATGTTTTTAACGGGAAGACAATTTGCGTTGAGTCCCACCGTACTTCTCGCGAACAACTCTGATATTTTAATCTGCTATTATTGTATTGTATCACAAGTGGAGCAAGCTATGCCTCGCTTATGTATTACAACACGCTCATCGAATCCTGTTCATTGACTTTTTCTCTTGGGCAACAGCCAATTTTTTCAGGTTGAATATTTATGAAGATTTTAACGCCGCTTAATTTTTTTCCACTTCCTATTTTTCGGTCAGCTCGTTCATATCATTTTTTTCTAAGGTTCAATCTAAACCGCTTTTTGAAAATTTCGGCCTTTTCGACACTGTTAGCTTAGTTTTCACGAGCTTCCCAATTTTTATTCGGTTTCACTGATTTTAATCTATAAGTGTGGCTTCAGAGTTTTTTTCGTGATACTTAGAACTTTTTTGTACTTTTTCCGGCCATTGAAAATGGGGCGGAACTTTGTATTGCGGTATGTTTTTTATTTTTGTTTTCCATAAAAAATCAGGGAACGTAGTTAATCATCGGAATGGGGTCGAGTAATATATCATATAAAAGCCCTTTCAGACGTGATTCGAACATAAAAAAATTCGGAATTTTTTGTCCCTGTGTCGAGAAAAATTGGTATGAAATCTTTGATCGAATAACTCTTGTTGTGGAAATTTAAATTTTCCTACAGTTTTGTGGTAATTTTTCAAATTTTACCCTAAAGAAAATGAGTTTTTGATGTTAAGTTTTGCGCTTAATGGACAAAAAAATTTATACAAAAAAAAAATTAAAATTTTGATCAAAAAATTTGAAAAATAAATTATTTTTCCTTATTTTTGAAGACAAATGTCGATCATGCCTAATTCTACGCGATCGTATAAACCTCTAATCGCTCCGCGCAATAAAAATGACATTAATTTGAAACGTTTTTTCTGTTTATACTTAAAATTTTGGAAAATGTGCCCTTTTTACCCTTTTGATAACCGATTTCGTCATTTTTCAGATTGCAAGCAGTCTTAAGCTCCGCTTCGCCTCTGCATCAAATTTAAATTATTTTAGGCAACGGTCATGGCAATGCACGAGCTGGTGTTGGAGTGTTTTGGGGTAAAAACCACGCAATGAATGTGAGCCGACCGGCTAAGAGGGCGACAAATAACGCGGCCGAACTCGAGTCTGTCATCATTTCTGTTCGACAGGGTGAACAAGAGGCTATTTTGGACGATCTACTTGTGCTAAGTGACTCGGAATATACGGTGAATTGCGTGAACAGAGGTATCCGAGAGTGGAAATCGAATGACTGGACTTTGAGATCTGGAGCTAGAGCTAAGAATGTTGATTTACTGAAAGAACTGGATCATTTGAGGAGGCTGAATAAGAATTGGAGACTTAGATATGTCCCCGCACATCAGGATGTATTTGGCAATGAAATGGCCGATTACTTGGCTAACGAGGGTGCGAAAAGGTTCATTGTGGCTCATTGGTAATTGATTTTAATTCAATTAGTTGTGAACCTGTTAAAAAAATTGTGTTCTATAATATGAAAAATAGTACCCATTTGAAAGGAGATAAACCAAAAATAATTTATGAATGTTTGGAATCGGGTCAGCTTCTGATTTCGAAAGAAATTGTTTGTTTTAACTTTCTGAGAAGCATAACAGTTCGATTGGAACTTCTATACAGGGTTTCTTTGCTGCAGTATAAACTTAATTTATTTAGAGATGGAAGTTATACATCGAAATTTATTTTGTTGAATTATTTTTTCTTTCACCATAAATGTAGTCAAGCTTGGGTAGGCATTAGGCTCAAATTCTGTTATTTAATCGCAAATAGTTTCTACAAAATCAAGTAGGGTTAGTAATCGATAGTTGTATTTTCAATTTCAGATTGGAACATGGTTGAGATTTTAATTAAGCCGGCCCAACGGCTCTTAAGTTGACGTCAAGAAATCCTAAGACCTAGCCAGGCATGGATACTAGACCTAAAACATCGCGTGGAATCCCGGCTTATGGGAGTGCAGCGGGATTCAAACCACCTTCATCGGCTTCAGGAGGTTAGAAATAGAAATTTTCATCTCCAAAACCGGCCCAACACAGACCATTTTTTTTGAATGGTTATTGAATCTTTTGAAATTTAAAACGAACAGATCAGGATACTGTGACAATAGTACAATTTTCCAACCGCAATGATTGAAATAAATTAATTTTACCTTGAATGTTTTGGAAAAATTGTTTTTTCCCCTAAATGTTTTGTTATTTTTTCGGTAAACATGCGATTTAGTTAAGTAAAAACTTCAAAAATGAGAGCTTAAAAGTTTACAAATTGCAGCATAATTAATTTTTAGTTCAGTATTTCATCGTTTCTTTTTTAAATTTTGTGTCATTTTGGTCAGAATTTTTCCTGTTTTCAGATGAAATGACACTAAATTAACAAATGACTAATTTTTCTCGACTGTTCTTTTTCTGTAATCAGACTCACGGCCATTCTCGCTTCAATTTTAAACCTGTCAGTTTTCCTTGTCATTTAGTCTGAAGGATAGACATTTCGAACCAACTTTCTTGCCTGGCTGTGAGACGCAATGGCAGTTTCTTCCCACTTTGTGAATTGTTCGGAACAATATTTATCTCAAAATTTAGATCAAAGTAATTTCGAGAATGTCAGATAAACAACGAACACTGACCATCTAATTCTGCGTTAGTCATTTGAATGTCGTTTTCAAGGTAGCCGTCTTTCTACGGATGAGCTACTGAGACGGGCCAGTGGTCACTTGAAAGAGGGAGGACCGGCTCGTGGATCGGCTGAACTGGCGACTGGGGGTGGCAACTTCAGAGTGACTTCGTCCTACGATCCTGCCGGAAAAGTCAGATCCAGCACTGAGGTAATTTGCTGTACGAGATCCCAAAGTAGCTGAGTAGTTGATCTTACTGGTTAGTTGTAAAGAGTAGCAACTTCATGAACCTAAAAATAACTGTTTTATGGTAAGTTTGCTGAATTCCGAAATAGCTTCTCAATGAACTTTGTCATTTTTGCGAGAGACTCAAATGTTAAACAGATGTTCGCTATTAGTCCAGCAATGCCTTGCTTTTTGTTCTCACCACCCACAGAGCTGAGAGGATCTATGGCAAAAGGTGTGTATTTTTCCGCACTCTGAGGGAATTGAGTGTACACGGTTAGAGACTTTTTTTGCGTTTTTCAGTCTGAAAAAATGTGTACTTAACCAATTGTCAACTTAGGTGTAAGAAAGGATAGTTTTTATAGTTTTCGTTGAATTTTCTACAATTCTCGTGATGAAAATAGCTTAAAGTCTACAAACTAACAAATGTCAGAACATTTCGCAAGGGCAAAAACTACCCTCAGAGACAACCTCCATTTGATCTGAATTAAACTAACAACAGAAGGAGAACAGTTTGTTTGTTTGACAATTGAATTGTTTTCAGGAAATAAACTCTAGGGTGTTTGTCTCTGGATTTTGTATTGTAATGACGTTTTGTCATGAGCTAGTGATAAACTTCACTTTGTAATTTTGATATTCCTTTTTTGTTGTTTCACTATGTATATATTAGAAAGTTTTGCTGTCTCTATATATAATTGATTGCTCTGTAGACATACCTCAACAACTTATCTCGGAAAGCTTCGAAGGCGTCGCAAGACATCAGCGACGAGGAAGTTAAAAGGAAAGCGAAGGGCAAGAAAAAACCACGCGGTCGAGTTTCCTCATATGATAGTGATGAAAAATTGCACTCTGAGGGAGACACTAGTTCCAGCACTACCATCGGCAAGGGAGGTGCTAGCTTCCTGAAGAAGAAACCGGCGCCACAGAAGAAAGCGCCGTCCAATGGTAACAATATGCTGAGAAGTTTTCTTTCAGCTGGGATTTTTTAAAAGCAGAATAGGGTGTTTTGAGCGCTTTAAAACTCGGAAAATTATGAAACAGATTGCAAAATGTCAAAAATTTGCCATTCCATTACGCAATTATTAAATCTTTTTCACATATTTGAAAATATATATATATATATATATATGTAACTAAAAAGCATGATTCTGACATTGATGTGTTAGCAGATGAGAAATTGACAGCAAAAGCAGGGAAACCATTTGAGTCGTCTGGGTTAATGAGCAGCTCGGACGAGCAAAGCGAAATAGTGAGAAGGAATGTCGTTAGAGGTAATTGAGAATAATTCAGAGTGATAACAGGAATACAATTAGTATAACAAACACAATGTTCTTGCCTTAAATATTAATGCTTATTGATCGAATAGTTTAAGTTTTCTGGTTGTCAATACCCTTGCGATAAGCAAGAGTACTGCAATCGAGTACGAGACTTTTTTTCCCGTAAACAACTGTGTCGACACAGGACTCTTCATCTGGACTCATTTCCTTCAATCCTCACTTGACAACCAAATTACGGCTTCTAATATGCTACTATGCACCGGTAAAGTGCGTATTAGTATTTTAAATAGCTGGTCCTTTTCAGATTTTTTTGTTTTTTAACTTACCAACTCGATTTGCTAAAATTTCTTTTTAAATTATTCTGTTTTTCGTTTTCGTAGATTTCGAACTTTTTTATTGGCTTAGTGGCCTCATATTCTGCTGGTAAGTGGCCTCATATTCAACTAGCTAATTTTTTCTTGAGCGTATGTTTTGAAAGCAAGGAGGACTCAATAACATTTTCTTAATCTTAAATTTTTTGAATTTTTTTCGGCTTTTTTTATTTTCCTTTTTTTCGGTTTAATAGTTTTCGGTCTATAATATATCGGTTTAGTGGCCTCCTATTGCGTCGTTCGAGGAGAGATTTTTTTCGTGTGTGTTTCGAGGGTGAGAAGGGCTTAATAACCTTTTATTGGTCTTAAAATTTTCGATTTTTTTCAATTGTTTTTTTTTCTCTTTTTTTTGGCCTAAAATATTTCGTTTTGTATTATATCGTCTCAGTAGCCTCATATTGTTTCATTTGACCTAAAAATAAACTTTTGTTCTGTGTGTGTTGAGGTTGAGAGGAATTTACTAATTTTTTATAAATCTTGAATTTTTTTCAGCTTAAAGGGTTTCTGCTAATGCATGTTCGGCTTTATTGCAGCTTGTAAGTTTTTATGGTTATTTTTTTAACGTTTTTGTTGAATTTGATAGATCTAGTTTTTTTGACATTTTTGTTTTTTTTTCTACATTGTTTTTCTTTGTTTTGTATCGCAAGTGGTGCGAAGCTCAGATTCGCCTCCGTGTTGAGTTTTTGAGTGCTTGAACCTTCTCCGATGAACTTCTTGATAAAACCTTCTCGGTTATTTATCAAATGTCCATTAAAGGTAGTGAAGACACTTATATAGAACAAGGTGATTTTTTCCATTTTTTTCAGGAAAATTTTATTATAACTACAGAAGTACAATCATCTATTATATATTTAAATGCGGGCTTCACTATCTCGCCGTGTTTAAGCTTTTTCAACGTATTATTTTTGCATGCTTAAGCTATATCGTATATTGCAATGGTTAAGTTTTTTTTCGATTTTCCAATTTGATCTTAGTGGTTATTTCACCGAGTTTAAATTAAGCAGCCCAATATCGAATTAGGGGTTGCGAATTTGGCCTCCAATTTTGAATGCCCGAATCATTTTAGTTAACGAGATAAGACGATTTTGAGATTTTTTCAAAAATTTTCAGAAATTTCTAACAAAATATTTTACAAAACTTGAATTTCCCAACCTTGTAGTTGGGTGCTGTCAGAAAACTCCAAGGAGTTAAAAATCTTGCGTCCAAATAGGGCTGTTCAAATCCTTGTAGTTTTCGAGATATGACGTTTTTTGAGATTTTTTCAAAAAAATTTCAGAAAACTTAAATTAATTTTTTTCCGCAAAATCTGAAAATCCCAACCATGTAGTTGGGTCATGTCAGAGTGCTCTCAAAGATTGCGAATCTTGCCTCCAAATATGACTGCTCAATTTTTTGTAGTTTTCGAGATGTGAAGTTTTTTGTGATTTTTTCGATATTTTCAGAAAGTTTAAATTAATTATTTTTCGAAATTTGAAATTCCCAACGCTATAGTTCGGTGTTGTCAGGGTTCTCTAAAGAGTTGCAAATCTTGCTAAATGTGACTGCTTAACGCGACTTCTCAAATGCTTTTAGTTTCCGAGATGTGACGTTTTTTGATTTTTTCAAAACTTCTCAAAGAACTTCTACAAAGAAATTCAAAAAGTTTGAAACTACTAACTTGATGAAGATACAACCTTATTGTCAGCGTACACGCAGGCGTCTCAAATCTTGCCTCTTAATATGAATGCTCAATTCTTTTTAGTTTCCGAGATAAGACGTTTTTTCAATTTTTTTTTTCGGTAAACTTAGGTTTAAAAAATTCACAATATTTTGAATTCCTAGCCCTATAGAAGGGTGCTCTCAGGGACTCTCAGTGTTTGCAAATCTGGCCTCCAAATTTCTCCATGGGCCATTAAGTTTTCGAGATGACGCTTTTAAAATGGTAATTAAAAAAAATTAAAAAGTTCGAAATTACCAACAATGTAATTGGGTGCAGTCTGAGTACACAAAGTTTGCAGATGTTGTTTCCAATATATGCGGTTTTTCATGAGTTGTCGAAAAATTTCGAAGCACCGGAGATGCGTTAAACGCTAGTATAAGTTAATGTCTATGTAAATGTATATAAGTGTTTAAGCTTCTTTTGGAGTTTTTAAGAGTAATGAACGTAGTGAGTACTCTTATATAGGTCTTGCTGATTTTTTTTTCAGGAGAAGGTCTTAAATTTTGTTCACGCTCCTTTTTGATTTTTCGCGGTCTAACTTGTGGTTTCTTTTTAATTTCAGTGCATTTCAATTGTTAAAAGGAAGGCGAACTCCACAATCGAACAGCAAAAGTGTAAAGGGCACGAAAAGCGTGATTTGTTTCTGATTTCGAAAATGAAAATTAATTATCAGATTTCCCAACGAAATAAAAGTTTTACGTATTGATCCAGTTTTCTCAAATTGGGTTAATTTTAACAAAAAAGTGTCCATCATAAATTGTTTTACAAATTTAAAGAGCTTCAATGCCACGAAAGTGCAAATGGTACGGAAAAACGTAAAATGACTTTTAGTTTCTTGAGTGGATTTTTCGTGCGGAATAAAAATATTACCTATTAATCCAGTTTTCTCAATTATGGTTAATTTTATCCAGAAAAATGTCATTCATAAATGGTTCCTAAATTTGAAAACTCTGGAGGCTACAAAGCTTTTTTCCAACTCGAAATTCGAAAACTTTCAAAAAAATAAAGTCAAGTGTTTTATCTTTTCAGGCTCCTTGACTTCATTTTTACACTTTGTTAATTGTCTCTTAACTTTGGTTTTAAGGAAAACTTTAGGTGTTATTTTAGTTATTTAGGTCGTGGTTTTATTCTTCAATTTACTTCAGGAAAAAGTCTGAAAAGTAGTTCACACTCAGTTTTGATTTTTCGCAGTTTGGTTTTTGATTTCTGTTGAAATTCATTTGCTAAATGGCGTGAAAAAATGTTAAATGATTTTCAATTTCAAAAGTGGATTATAATTTTTAGAATTCCCAGCGGAATATGAAATTACCTATTGATCCAGTTTTCTTCTTTTTTTCCAGGAACGTGAATGCTTTTTTTGTTCATTATTGAATGACTGCCTGTGTTCGGTTTATATTTGCTGAGAACTATCCGGTTGATCAAAACCTGGGGTCTACTACCGCCCTCTCCCCCTTCCCCTTAAACTATGTATACATCAATTTCACGGCGTTGTTAATGATGTTACGAGAATATATATGAAGACAAATAGTTTTTGTAATTGCCAATTTTCCTACCACGTGAAAAATGTAGAAAATATGAGAAATTGCTAGTGGAGGATAATGTTGACAATCTGAGGACATGATCTTACAGGGTCTATTGGAATTAAAAAGTTTCCTTTCAACCTTTCATTCCTGTAGTAGGTTATGAAATTAAAGTGAAGTGTCTTTGATCATAGGAACTGGTCAGAAGCCAGTTAAGATAGCTCAGCCCTCGCCGGAAAAGAGTGACGATAAGAGTATTGACATCAACATGCTTCTCAAAGATGAACTGTCAATGGACAATTCTTCAACTTCCAGAAAGGTAGCTGATCGAGATCGCACTTAGTGTTTTTCAACGGCTGACTCCAAAAATATTTGGAAATTGACTGTTGAACACTGCTCAATTAATGTCATTAACGACATATTGTGATGTTTTGATTCTCTAAGTGCTGCAAAACAAATCAATTACTTTTAAATATGAAATGTCATCATTTTTTGAAATTTATATATTTAGAGACTTACAATAAATCGGCAATCCAATGTCGACCAGGTGAGTGAGTTAAACTAAAAGCTAAGAGTCCACGAGTTTTTCGTTGTCTTCGGTGATTCATCATTGCTTGTCAGTTGGTCTTATCTCATTTGAGTTGCTTATCTATCTACATCGCCCATCATTAGCTGCCCATTGTTTCTCATCTTTTGCTCGTCAAACTTGAAGCAGTTATTTATTCGATGTTTCAGTTTTTGCACATAATAAATGTGTTAATTGAATATTTTTTCCGGTGTTATATTGGAGAAAACTTGATCGCGAGAAATCGCTTCTTCAGTCGGACTCATAGTTCTCATGGTAGACGCTCTGTTCTCTATAATGTACCCAAGTATTTAATAGCCCGACCAACTATCTGCCGCGGAAGCCGAATGAGTAGAATTTTGAGAGGAATTGAAAACTTTTCATTCGAACAGACTTCTACTTTAACGCGTTTAAATGAAAAAAAAAAAAATTTAAAATGAGTTTAAAGCCAAATGAAATGGTAGAAATGAAGATATGATGATGATGGTATACTGTTGTTGTAAAAGTTTGTGTGATCATTTTGTGGTTTTTGAAAGATTCTTCTAGTATTACATGGTCGTGCCTTGAATCGATTTACTGTCTCATTGAGTGTTTTTATTTTGTCATTTAAGGATCTGGACGAAGAGTATGACCAATTCGATATGGACTCCCCTCCGAAGACTCCAGTGTCGGCCAGAAAGGTACCATAAAAGCCAATTATCTGAAATCGAGTCAACATAATCTGTATTTTGTAAACGAAGCTCTTCGAAGATAATATAAATTGTCATAAATAATGAGCTATTGAGAGACTGAAGCACTTTCGAGTGCTGAATGAACCAATACAGCTCGAGGACAAATAGAACATGAAAGGACAATCTTTTAAACCTGAAAGTCTGAGAGTCACTTTCCGAATGACTGAGAATTCATTTTTGTGACGACGCTTGAATTTGGAATGCTAAATTTTGGTTGAATTTGGCTGAATTTTGCTTGTAGGAAGTGCGTTTTTCCACTCAACTGAGCATCGCGAGTGGCGAAGACAACATGAGTGTGGTTGAGTCAGTCATGGACACTGAGTCCATACAAGCTGACTTCGCTTCCAATCTGCAGCCAACACCAGGTGCATCCTCGTCATCAGTGCAGTTAGGAGTGGGTGGGGCGTCTGTGGGCAAGAGTGCTAACTTGTTCCAGGATTCGGGTAAATGCAAACAGCGTTTAAATATTAAAAAAGTTGCATGAAGGCATGAACTGATGATATTAAGCAATCTTTTCCTAACCGTTACTGAACTTAATTTGAGGTACAAGTTTAATTGTGTTCTAATGCTCTTGAAATCACTTAAATTTAAAAGATTTTATCAGAAGGCCAGCAGCACTGAATGGCACCGAAACGTCAGCATATTCAATACGGCCTGTCTTCTAGCCTGAATGTGTCATGGATCTAGTTTTGTTATATCTACCCTCAACTTATGAAAAAGATAAAATGCTCAGGCTCATAATTTGACATCATTTAAAAAGTAGCATGGGGAAAACACAAATGTTTAATGAGTTTCCATATGGGCTAGAGATGGTGAATAAGATACAATAAATTAGATAATGTGAGATTATACATTACGGAATTTTAAAATTTACAGGTTCCGAGAAATCGGAAACAGGAAGCTCAGGTATTTTAAATGTATAACCTTTGTTTATCACAATCTTTTAGTGCACTGTTCATGTCTTATGTTTTTTTCCTGTTTTATTTTGATTTTGTTGAATGATTTGAGTTTTGTCCAAGATTTTGTGGGACTGGTGTTTATTTTCATACAAACGAATACTTAGGAGTCGGCTGGTTCTGTTAAATTGAGAGGTTTCTTGGTATTGAAGAAATTACTATAATAATGAGCGGTTTTAGCAAAAGTTTCATCCTCAAAATTTTTTCAAGTGTTTTTTTTTCAAGATTCGTTTTCAGTTTAGTTTTCGAATTGGATGTCGTTTTGCTCTGCAGTAGCGCCCTTCAGTTTCAGTTGAAAAATAATATGTAGTATTTAGAGTTATTACTCGAATTCAAAATATTCTTAATGATTTAATGCTCCTTAGTTGGGTTTCTTTACTTCTAAATTTTAAGATTTTTAATGTCAATTGAAAGATTAGCCGGCTGCTGTGAAAGTAGCACAAAATATTCGAAGTACAGCTATCATTGCCGAAAATCATGATTAATCGTTTTCAAAGTTTCTATTCTAATTTCATTTTTTCCATTTAATTTTTCCATGAAAGTTATCAGACGACACTTCAATTGCGAAATTCAAAATTAATTCACGTTTGATATTTTTGCGACTGTGTGCTGTATTCTCATCTATTTTTGTGAGATTGTTCTTATGATTTAAGTTTTCAATTGCTTACACAATCGGAGCTTCAGGTAAAACTACGAAGTAGTTTTTTTTTCCAACCGAAGTCGCAAATAAAAGTTCTCATTTGGTGGAACTTTTGGCATGTTTCCAATCATAGGTAATTTAATTGCATATGTTGCTGCTTTGTTTTTGGCTAGTGTACGTTTTTTTCTAAGTTACCGTGGCGCAGATGCGAGGACGAGAGACTCCTTATCTGCAGGTTTGAGATTCAAATCCGGAACACTTCTGCTGCATAGCATCGGTAATTCAATAGCAACTGATGTTTCATTGTTAGCTACTGTCAGTAAATTTTCAAGAGCTCTTGGAGCAGATGCGAGAACGTGAGAATTCAAGTCTTTGTGTTGGAGCATCGATTCCGGCACATTGCAAAAGTTTTGTTTTTCAAGGTTTCTTTACCTTTTCTTTTAATTTTCTTAGTTTTTGTCTTTTTAAACTTTTTTAACCATTTTCTCGCGTATGTTTGCAAAGTGCAGATTCGTCTCTGAGTTTAAATTGCCTTAAATGCTCATTACTGCTGAAAATGTTTGTCAGAAAACCAAAAAGTGTTTTGAAATTTATTGCTTTCTTGTAAAATATATAAATCAAACTATTCATGCAGCAAGTGCCGTAATAGAATGCTGAATAAACTATGTGCACTAGCAGCAACGCTTTTTATAGCATTTTTTACAATGGAGTTCGCAAATTATTTGGCTAAAATTCTTTTAAATTTATATGTACTGTGTAGTTTATATGTAGTTTTATTCAGATCGAAACTAAGTTTTTTTTTGTTAATTTCGCATATGTTTTGACTATCAAATGTGCATTTTTTTAAAAAAGATTATGAGATTAAATTTCATGGGTCCCCCATATTTACGTTTTTGATATCAATTTATTTTGATAAATAATGCTAGACATTGTTAAAGAGTCGGTGAACGTAGTGCACACTCTTATATAGGTCGTAATGATTTTTTTTTTCGTTTTTTTTTCAGTTAAAATTTATTCAGGAGGATAAAGTTAACTTTTTCGGGGTTTGATTTTTGATTTCTTTTCGTGTTGGTTCATTTCATTTGTTCGAAGGAAGGAAAACTCCCCTATCGAACAGCAAAAGTGTAAAGGCCACGAAAAACTTGATCGATTTGTTTCAATTTTTGTTATCAGATTTCCCAGCGAAATGAAAAATTTACGTATTGACCCAGTTTTATAAATTTAGGTTAGTTCCACCAAAAAATGTCAATCATAAAAAATTCTGGAAATTCAAAGAGTTTTACGGACATCTTTTTTTCGAACTTTTGATTTTTTCCTAAAAGAAACAAGTCAGAATTTTGTTCTCTTAGTTATTTGAAATTAGGTTTTTCGTTTTTAAGGGTGCTTTTATTTATATATAAAAAAGAGTTCTCCTTATAAAAGCAGAGGTGAAAATTATCATGATGAATAAAAGAGAAATTAACTGTCGATTTTGTGACTAGATCTGGAGATGGAAGTGAACCTGGGTATTGAGGATATTCTCCCGGCTACTGTGAAACCGGACAAGACCTTACCCGACTCAGCCAGCGAGGAAGATCCATTCGACGCCTTGGGTCAGAATCTACTAGGTAACCCTAACTTTATTCAAAATGGGGTTTTTCTGTGCAATTTTTTTCTTTTGGTCAGAATTTTCGAAGTGTCTTGATTATAAATTTTAATAGATATCAATGAACTTTCGGTTGCCAACTCTGATGAGCCTCCTAAGCCAGTCGCTAGAACAAAAACCAAACGACAGTCGAGATCAGCTAGAAGGTTACCTCGTCTCTCGTCCTTCCGAACATCCAGTCGAAGTTCCACGACTAGTGCGAGTGAAGATGACGTAGTCGAAGAGATAGTTTCGGAAAACGAAGTGTCCTCGGCAACCGAAAAGAGTGTTAGTTCGCATGGGGAACAGCTTCTCGCAGCTGGGAAACTGCCAGAGACGAAAGGAAGACTGCTGATTATGGACAATGAGGAGTCCGAACAGAAAAATGACAGGGGAAAAAGCAAAAAGGTATAATAGTTATCGAATTTGAAAGTAAATCTGGGCTCTTATCCATTTTCCCCTACATTTGAATTTCAATTTTGGAAAACTAACTTTACGTCATAATGTAATCAAATTTGGCATGGTGAACAAATTAATTATTGTGAAAACATTTGTTCTTCATTCCTTACTTCGTAAAAGCATGCATGCAGCCGTAATTACACGTAGGACAGCTGAAAACTTAAAGTGGAAAAGAGCCCAAATCCGGTTAAGTTGCGCATCTTAATTAAATTACGAATCTGAAGTTGCTTTTTTATTGTCTTACTCTGATTGGTCTTTATCGACAGAAAGTTGAAAAGAAAACTTTTTTAGCAGTGTGCATTAGTCTCAATAATTGTATTAGGAGTCGACGAGCATTGTTCAGACTCTGATTACAGTTGGGAAAGTAAGAGTCGTGTAATCGAGAACTATACTTTTTTTTCGTAATCAATTTTTCAACTTCTTTATTATTACACTTGCGTTGCAAAGTGTATTAGTACGAACTTTCCTTTTTTCCAACCTAAGTCGCAAACAAAAGTGGTACTTTAAGTGGCATTTTCGAATCGGTAGGCTGCGGTAGCAGTATAATGTCATGTGCTTTGAAATTTCATTAGTAAAAAGTAAACACAGCTGATGCATTTTATATTAATCAAATGAACCGAAAAAAGTTTGTTTCAAACAACATACAATGATAAAAAGAGCTCGATTTCAAGAAATTATCCAACTCAATGTATCTCGTATTTTTTTTAAATGCCTAATATATACATAATTTGGCCTTATGTTTTCCAATTTATAACATGCAAAGTTGTGTCTTTTTGTATTTGGTGCTACTTTTGCTGCATCGAATTAGCAATTTATTAGAATATGTAGCTGCGTTATTGGTGGCTATTTTTTGGGGATTCTAAGCGTCCATAGCTGAATGGTTAGTGCGTGAGACTCAAATTTGCTAGGTCGCAGATTCGAATCCGACACGTAGCCGAGTTTTTGCTGTTTCGAGGCTTATTTCTACTTTTCTTATTTGACTTGATAGAGATGCTTTTTGATCGTGTTCTCTCAAGTGTTTGCGAAGCAGAGCTTCGCCTCTGTCGAATTTTCCCAACTTCCAGGTTCCTTAGCGCTTGAGCTAGAAGTAACGCCGCTGTCTTTGAACCCAAATGTCCAGGGTTCGAGTCAGGAAAAGTTCAGGCTCAATTACTTTTTCGCAGTTAGAATTTTGCTTTTTGTTATATGGAAGGCAAACGCTACTATCACCAAAAGTGTGAAGGTAACGAAAAACGTGATTGACTTCTAGTTTCGATTTTGGAAAGCATAATAAAAGTTTTACCTATTGATCCAGTTTTCTCAATTTGGATTAGTTTTATCAAAAAAGTGTCTATCATAAATTATTCTAGAAATTTAAAGAGCATTAAATCCGTCTATTTTTTGAAGTTCGAAAGTTCGTTTTTTTCAAAAATCAAGTTTGTAATTTTTCTGTTTTCTTGCGTTCATTGACTTTTCCAACTGTCTGTTGGGTTCGTTTTTTTCCTAAACCAATTCAATTTCATTTGTTGAGGGATGTTAAATTAGGCTCTCCAATTAAGAAAGCGGAAAAAGCTCAAAAAAGCATAAATGACGTTTAGTTCGAGAAGGGATGCCCAAGTTTTTTCACACGAAGTTATGAACTTCGGAATAATAAAATTTTTGATTTGTCGACCTTTTTGTGAATATTCTTGAATTATCTCGAAAACTAACCGCCCAACCCTGAGACTGTGGGTTCAATCTAAAGAACGCGTTGTGGAAGTTTTTTTGCTTACTACTACGCTTAATTTTTTTTGACACAACAAGTTATGACCCCGAAAGAGTCAAACTTTTGGTTTTTTGATCGTTTTCCGTAACTTGTTGCATGAAACTTCTACATCAGCGGATACAACCAATTTTTTTTAGCAAAAAGCTATGATTCTCGGGAATTTTAAGTTTTTGATTTGTTGACCGTTTCTTGGGACTATTCTCGATAACTATCCTGCCAAATCTGATATCATTTGGTTAATCGAAACAACATGTTGTTGAAAACTTACCTTAAAAGTTTCTAAGAATTTGTTTAGAAAAAAATATGGCCTTCAAGAAAGTTTTTTTGGAAAGTTTTGACTTTACTCGAAAACTACCGTACCAATTTTAAGGTTAAGTGTTTAATCGATAAGTTCGGTTTTGGGAGTATGTTTTACTTTTGACCGTTTTTCTTGAAACTTTTTCAATTATCAAATCCGAGATAAGAAGTTTAATCGGAAGAACCGGTTGCGATAAGTTTTTTACCCGTATTTTTCCCACCCATGTTATGTCCTTCAGAAGGTTCCAATATCTCAAAAACTTTCACTCTACTCATTTGTTTTAGTAGGAAACAACTACGGTTTTAGGCAATGATCAATTTTTGAAATAAAGCATTTCATCCCACATCAGTATAAGTTCAAAAAATATCAAACACGTACCTCCGGCCTTAGATGGGACCCTAGTTGTCTTTTAGCGAGACTTACAAAAATATATTTTCACCTACTTTTTTTCAACAGTTTTCATTTGTTTCAGCTGATGTTCTTTTATGTTGGTGTTGTATCGCAAGTGGTGCCAAGCTCCGTTTCGCCTCTGTGTGTTGATGAGTTTTTTTCCAGGAAAAGTCTTAAAATGTTCTAATATGTACAGATATGCATTCATACATTTTAATGCAATTATGAATGCCCTAGTGTATGTACACTTTTTGAGCTCAATGCTAGTTCATTGGCTGAAAGGCATCCAATTGGCGCTCTTCAATTACAAAAAAAAAGAAAATGGTTGGGAAAAAATTGATCGATTTCTACTTTCGAAAGTAGAACTCAGTTTGAAGATTTCCCAGTGGAATAAAAACTTAACCTAACAGTCCAGTTTTCTCAAATTGAGTTGATTTTATCAAAAATCTGCAATAAATTTTTCTTGAAAACCAAAGAGCTTGAAGGCCATAAATTTTTTTTTTATTGAAGTTGGAAAGTTGAAGGTTTTTGAATAAACAAGTCAGTTTTTTGTTTCTTTGCGTTCCTTGACTTTTTCCAACTGTCTGTTGGCTATGTTTCATTTTGCAGGTTGACAAAACAGAAAAGGTAGCTGTGGAAGATGCTTATGACGACAGTCGAAGAGAATCCATGGTGTCAATGTACTCTCAAGATTCTTTCGACGATGTATCGACCACTGAGCCTCCTTACTCGGATCAAGACCAAGCATAGTAATTATGTTTTTATTTTTGAAATACACATAGAATGATTGAAGGAAACAATGCTTCCTTTAGCAGATCGACGTAAAAATGTCACATCAGTTAGCTAATATAAAGAGTTTTGTTTGATTTTTTAAGGTCGAAAGACAATTTGTTTTGGTTTTAGCGACAGTGAGTCGGACATAACTCTTCCAGAGAACCAGGAAAAACTCCTGGACGAGGTCAAAGCGGTTAAACGACATGACTCCAGTGGTGCTTCTGTTACGTCATACGACAGCGATAGTGATGTAACCACCTCTTTTCCTTCCTACACTAACGCGGAGAGTAAGAAAGAGAGTAACCGGAAACATAAATCGCCCCGAAGTCGTGAACAGGAAACAAAGATGAAAGGTGTTCACGTGGATAGTAAAGCCGGTCACGTCACAGTAGGGCAGGAATATTTTGCGGAGAGGGAAACTGAAACTTCAATAGGTAAGTTGGTCAGAGTTGAACAAAAAAGGGAATGGCCTTATTGAGAAGGCTACATTGGTTTTTATTCGCGGAGAAACTCAACTGCAATTTGATGCGAGAAGGCTACATCACGTTTTGGAACTTTGAAGGCTGAAAAACCTTCAGTAAAATATTTTTTTATCGATTTTTGTTTGGAAAAGTAAGTTGTGTTTGTTTTTTAGTAAGTTATGTGTTTGTTTTTTAGATCGAGTGTTCCATCAAATTGTCACAATTCAGCCGAAATCAATTGCTTCGATGGTAGTCGAAAAAGAAACCATAGAGTGTATGTAATCTTAATCTTTATTTTTCCAAGAATTTTGGTATTTTTTTGTTATATGAACCAAAATGATTTCTTTTTTGGTATTTAGAAAACTTTGTCATGGCTCTTGAATCTGATTAAGAGAAAAAAATTACTCAAAAGGAAGCCTGATTTTTTCAAAGAAAACCATTTTAAGCCTTCTGGTAAATTGAGGGCTTTAAAACAGAAAAGACCCAGCTGTTATTAGAAGCAGTGCTTTACTAACTCAGTTTTCCCATTTAGCCATGACTAGTTATAATCCCTCAGCGGTTGCGTTGACGACTTTCATGAGCAACCATCTGAAGGCTACGAGAACTTTCATCGAGAACACAAGAAAGCTCCACGAACAATATCAGAAACTTCTCATTCCTACTTATCACTACACTTCCTTAGAAGACACAAAACAGGTATCGTATAGTGGTAGATATTATGTCAGCAATTTTGTTTTGAATTTTTAGCAGTTCTTTTATTTTGAAGAATTGTCTGTTATTTTTACTTTGCCTAAATGTGTTAAGTTTAAAGAGTGGTTGAACGTAGATGATTTTTTTTGTTTTTTCTCGACTGGTTGTGCTAAAATTAGTTCGCGCTCAAATTTTCAGCGGTTTGTTTTCTGCTTTCTTTTTAAGTTCAGTTATTTTCTCTTGCTCAAAGGAAGGCAAACTCCACTAGCGAACAGCAAAAGTGTAAATTTCACGAAAAATGCAATCGGCTTCTAATTTCGAAAGTGGATTTTAGTTTTCAGACTTTCAGCGGATTTTTTTTTACCTATCGTAATTAATGAATTCAGGTTTTAGAGTAGTGAACGTTGTGAAGACTCTTATATAGGTCTTGCTGATTTTTTTATAAAAGTTTATTTGGCTTCAACTGTTTCAATTTATATGTTTTGGCTTATTATGATTATTATCCTTGCGATCAGCAAGGGTATTGCAATCGGGTACTAGACTTTTTTCCCCGTAAAAAACTTTGTTCACAAGATGAGCTCCAATTTCAAAATTTCCTCTTTCAGCACTTTGCACGTTTACAATCTGGAGTTATTGTGCCTAGAGTTAATGCGTTATTGGATCTACTGGTTAAAAATTTCGGCCCAATTTTTGTCGGTTTATTTGCCAGATGTTTTTTGGAAATTTCTATTCAATTGGTTATTAAATTTATTTCGAAGAAAGTAAGACAATGAAAGGTTTTTTTCATACCTGTTTTTCAATACGCTTTTGTATACTGGCTAAAACTTTCAGTTTGAAAAGAAAAAAAAACTTTTAAGCGAATGGTCAAGATAAGAAATGGTGAATTTAAGTTAAGTTCATAGTGAATCCAAATTTCTTTGCGTTTCCTGCACTTATGCTCTGGTGATAACGAATGCGCCTGGGACGGCAAAGTTCCTGGTTTTGAATCCTCTAGGACCTTTTTTCAAACAGGAAATAATCTGTTTCAAACAAAAATTGTCTTTTACCTTAGAGTTGCTCCTAGTGTTCTGATGTACCTCTGTTAGTATTTTTTTAACCTGACTTCGTATGTTTTTTTTCGCTCAAAAAATTCATTCTGCCCAAATGATTTTGGACTTTTTGTTTGGCTTGGTGACCTTATTTTGAGTAGTTTCATTTTAAGCATATTTTTTATGCTGAACTCTGTGCCGCGCAAACTGCTGAAAATCTTAATAGAAGTTATAGTTCAAGTTTTTAATTGCAACAGTTCTTTTTTCTTTTTTTTGGCTTGATATATTTCGGCCTATATTATATCGGTTTATTGGTCTGATATAGCGTCTTTCGACGAGCGAAAAAAATTGGTTGTGCGTGTACATGCTTTAAGAGTGAGGGGGACTAAATAAATTCTTAATAGTCTTCTAATAGTTTTTTGAATTTTTGTCGGCTTTTTTCCCTTTTTGGGGTGTAATAGGTTTCGACCTATAATATATTGGCTTAGTAGCCTCAAATTGTTTCATTTGACGAGCAAATGAAGTTTTGCGGGATAGGGGCACTCATTATTTTTTCATAAGTCTTAAGCTATGGTTTTTTCCGGCTGACAAGGTTTCTACCAAGGTATTTTCGTCTTTGTTACCGCTGGGTAAATTATTTACCGATGCTAATTTCACGTTTTATTCTCTTAGCATATTTTTGTTTCAAAACTAGCCTTATTCATTTTGATCGATCTAGTTTTTTTTGACATTTTCGAAATTTGTTTTTGATTTTTTTCTTGTATCGCAAGTGGTGCGAAGCTCAGCTTCGCCTCTGTGTTGAAAATATACAAAACGGCTAAGAGCTGAAATGGAGGTACTCAAAAAAAATAGCAAGCTCATAAAAGGTGCGGTTCAGAGTCTGTCTTGTTGCAGTTTAAGCAAGGACAGACCATTTTAGCGCACATTCGGCTTTTTTCGTGATCTAAATTTGCGTTAAATCAAGGGAAAAGTAGAATTTCATGCTATGTTTTTTGGAGTGGGAAGCATAAAAATTTAAATTTTCAAGTTTTCATTGCAAAAAATTTGTTTGAGACTCAACATGCGTTGACATAATCTTTGTTGGATGACTTTTCGCACGTTTCTTGTTCAACACCAGCAATTATGTTTCTGGACGTATTTTCTCCAATTAAACATAATTCAGACAAAACTTTGATTTTTTTTTTCAGTTTTATTTAAGTTAGTGGCTATTCTATGATTGCTTTTCTGCTAGCAATGTTTGTGCGAACAAAGCGCCGCTTCGCCTCTGTAATATAAATTCAAATTCAAGGTTCATTCTGCTTAAGACGGGTTCCAGGCTTGGGGTACGTTTCCAGTCGGGATCTGTTTTGTTAAGCAAACTAAAAAATGTTGGCTATTTTATACCATCTGCTTGTTTTTGTCTGCTTAATTCCCGAACCGGGGAGGATTTAGGGGGAGAGAGACTCCCCCTCTGGGGTTCGAACCCTCACAAACCAAAGGAATTTATGACATCCGTTTCCAGCTGACCAGCACTAAATAGTTCTAAAGGCGCCGTTGGCGCCAATATATACTAACTTTGAAGGGGAGCGCGCGCCGGTAAAACGGAAATTTTGGCTCAAATTTTTCCAACCGCAAAACGGAATTTTGACCTGTGACCTGTTTTTTTTTTCAAAAATTTGCCTGCACCACAACTTTTTATCAAAAAACGATTTTTGAACGGTGTTCTGGGAGCGCTCGGAAAACCAATTTGGGGTCGACCTAAATAAAGGTCGACCAAATTTTTTGAAAGTGTGGCTTCTTACTAGAATTTTTTTATGTTGCACAACTGTTTTCCAAATTTTTTTTCGACATTTTTTGAATTTTGTTTGTTTTTCATGTCTTTTTTGTTTTTAATCATTTTTGTATCGCAAGTGAGGCGAAGCTTAGCTTTGCCTCGGTGTCTCAAGTTGAGATGATTTATCGATGAAATGTCAATCACGAATTGTTCTCTATGTTCAAAGAGCTTTAAGGACATGTATTTCTATCTTCAAAAGCTGAAGTTTTTCAAAAAAACGCAAGTTTCTTTGTTTCCTCTCGTTCATTGACGCTTTTCCAACTGTATGTTGGCAATTTTTGTTAATGCCGTTTATGCTTTGGAAAGGTAAGGTGGCTTATAGGAGCGGATGTCAAGTAATTACCTTATTGACAGAAAAAGTGTTAGTTCTTGAGTGAGTATGGATGCTCATCTGGTAACTGTCAAGGCAAGAGGACTCTTTTTCAGTTTTACACTTCTTGCATAGAATTGCAATTTATAAAATTCTTTAAAAGTTGTTTAAATTAATGTTTTAAATATCTGTTGACACTGACACGTTTTAGTGCAGTTTAGAAAATCAAAAGTCATTTTACTAAAGGTTTAAAATATTATGTTTAAGAGACGATCAACGTAGTTCAGACTCTTATATAGGTCGTGATGATTTTTTTGTTGTTTTTTGTCAGAAAAAGTCTTAAAATGCTCTATTAACAAAATAAGTGCATTCATACTTGTGAATGCATTAATGAATGCCCTTAGGAAAGCTGAATTGGCGCAAAAACGTGATCGAATTCTACGATATAAATTATGTTGCAATTTATTTTGCGAAATTCGGGCCTGAGATGTTAACCCAAAACCAATAATTTTGGCTTTTTTAGATAACCATTATAGCAAAATGAGTGTCTTAAGTAGCCGAACAAAGTTGAGAAGACTATGATCTCTAAAGTTTTGAGCCAGACGTTTTAAAATTGTTTTCAAATAAAAGTTTGGCATTTTATGTTGTAATAATGACATTTTTTGCCTTTCAAACGAAAATAATTTTAGTTAAAAATAATTTTGAAAGATTATACTCTTCTTCAACTTGTAATTCACTTCAATCTAGACGTTCACTTTAATCTAGTTTTATCAGCTATTAATTCAGTAGTTCCCGTGTAACTCTTAATTGACTAAAAAAAGGCAAAAATGATCGGTTTGAGCCAGAATTTCTTTTAAAAATTAGCAAATAATTATGTTGAAATTCTAAGCAAGTATACTCTTTAAAGTTTTTTATCTAAAGAAAAATGAATTTGAGAAAATTGCGTTTTAATTTTCAAGCTTCATTTGTTTCGTCCGGATAATTTAAATCAGCATTGTAGTTTTGAAAGTGGAATTAATTTATAGATTTCTTAGCGGAAGGGAAATTTTACCTAATATTGCAGTTTTTCTCAAATTGGGTTAGCTTATCAAAAACGTGCCAATCATAAATTGCTTTTGAAATTCAAAGAACTTTAGGGACATAATTTTTTTCTTTGAAATTTGAAAGTTGAAGTTTTTTCAAAAAAACAAGTCCATTTTTTTTTCGTTTGTCTGCGGCACAAAACTTTTTTCGTGACCGGCGTCACGAACTGTTATAATATATGTACGAAAACTGATAATTTATTAATTTTCAGGTCATCAAAGAAAGAAAAGAGAAACAGAGAAGACTTAGTTTAGAAGAATCAATTGACCGAGTGGAGCAGCAAATGGGAAAGTCTTTCTCTGAGAAGAAACGAAAGAAAATCAGGGAAAAAATCAAACTACTGCAAACTCAGAGAGAAGGACCGCACATCGAGCTTGAACATTAGTGCTTAGTTTTTTATTGTATATATGTCCAAATTTGTAAGTTCAACAATTGTACAAAATCTTATACATAGAATAAATTATCCGCAAATAATTCTTTCAAGTTTCCTTCAAATACTTCGTTTTGAGAAGGGTTTTATTGAAGAAGCAAAAAAAAACTCCCTAAAACTTTGGTAGAATCGGAAGTCTTACCAATTTAATTTCAAATGCAAAGTCAAAATTTATTTTGAATGATTCTTAACGGGGCAGAAAATTTATATATTAATGAAGTGAATACGCTTATTTAGGACGTGCGCAGAAGCGGATCTTGAGGGGATTTTTTTCACTTTTTGAATTTGATTAAATGTTCGCAAAGTGATCAGCGCAAGTTCAAGCCCAATTTTAAATTTGGTTTTTCGCGGTATCACATATGGTTTTGTTAAGTTTACTTCATTCGCTGTTATATGAAAGTAAACTCCACCATTGAAGGGCAAAAGTATAATGGTCACGAGAAATGTGAATGACCTCTTGTTTACAAAAGCATAGCTTGTGTTATATTATGACCTTTCTTTTTTTCCGACCTAAGTGGCAAATATTGTTGCGATAAAGTTGTTGCGACAAAGCGTGTTAATTTTGAAGTGTTCATTTTGCTCCAGCTATTAAGTACAGCCAATGCTAAGGATATTAGCACAGACTATTATATTACAAATAACACTTTAGCTTCAAGGTATCATGGATCTGTAGCATAGAGGTAGATAAGAGAACAACATCAAAAAAATAAGAGGGTTCAAATCAGGGCAGGGTCAGATGTTTAAAATGAACTTCTTCGTATGCTAGTTAAAATTCGTCCGCTCTGTAAAATGAGACATGTTAGTTGGCAAATTTGTTTTTTTTTTTCAAATTAACTGGTACTCCTAATGCGTCATAATTGGCTTTCGTCACTTAGCAATTATGTAGACTCATAATTGGCGTGCGTAACTTAAGAAATTTTGTAGACTCAAAGTTTTACTCATTCATTTTTTCCCAGTAGCGCTATCGGTCTTATTTTTAATTGCTTATTTTAATGTTAAATGAAGAAAAACTTCACCATCGAACAATAAAAGTGAGGGCTACTAAAAACATGAATGACCTCTTTTTTCAAAGTTGCTTTTTTTTGCTGCGTTCCCAGCGGAACGAAAAATTACCGAAAGGTCCCCTTTTCTCTTAATAGTTTAACTTTACGAAAAAACGTCAAACGATAAAGACTATTAGAATTTTAAACAGCGTCAACTTAATGAGTTTTTTTTCTGAAAATAGGAAGTTTCAAAATGTTAACATTGTTTTCAGCTTTCTTTTTTGTTCAAAATGTTTAAAATTTCTCTAAACTATGCTTTATTTACGGAATTTACAGTATTGTTCTTTGCTCAGTTTCTGCGAACAGCAAATATCATAATATTTGAGCAGATACACTTTCGAACTTTCTAAATTCTTTTAGCAACATGTCTGTTTTTTTTACGAAGCGCAATTTTGTCTCTGCGCTCATTTTTTATCTTCTACTCAATAAAAAATCAAATGCGTTCGTTCAAAAGTATTCATTTTATAAAGTCTAAACTTTATTACCAAGTTATGTAAGCCCAATTGAAATTGTTACAGTAACCCAAATTTTTTCTAATTAGGTTTCAAGTTCAATTTAGCGTCTTCGGTTTTTTTGTGTCCTTTATTTAATCGTTTTTCAAATGCAATTCAAGTTTGAAGAATATTTTCAATAACTCATTTTGAAGTCGGAAGTTTCCTTTCAAATTCAATTTAACTTCATAAACTGAATGGATGGCAAGTTACCCTCTCCAATAACAAAAAAAATTAATGGCACAAAAATTTTGATTGACGCGCAGTTTGACCCTTTTTCTTCGAATTTCGAATACTAATTTTTTTTTAGAAACAACTTTTTTTTGGTATTCCAGGATCATTGACTAATTTTGGTTGTCTAGTAACTGTCTAGTTAAGATTGTCTGGTAACTGTTTTTCAAGAAAGCATAGTATGTTTTTTGGTACAATGTTTTTTGTATATATATTTCCTCAACTCCAGACGTATTTTTACGAGTTTACACGCGAACTTTAAATATTTAAGAAAATTTGAGGCATTTTCCGTAATGATTGACTGCCCCTTTTTGTTTTCTTTTAAAAACTAATTTGACAGTAAGTCTTCTATTTGTCCATATTTTGAACTAACTAATTCCATGAATGCTCAAAAAGTATCAGGAAAATTTCTACCCCTAGAAATGAACAATGGGCTATTCAGACTATCTTAGGCAAAGAGAAGGTCTATTGACCACTCATCGACTAAGAAAATCCCATCTTCTGTTTTTCAACAAGAAAAGGAAACAAGCCATTCAAAAGTTTTATTTTGTATATCCTTTCGATTATTCATTTAGAAAAAATCAAGGTTTAACAAGGTCACGTGGCTGTACATTGCTGTACACGTGGCGCAGAATTTTTCCCACCATATTCTTAAAAAATGCCTGAAAAGTTTTCCTAAATGACTTTTTTCACGTTTGTTCATTTTCGTTTTTTCTGTGCCTGGTGGGATAAAAGTATCTAAGAAAAGTAAAGAGCTTAGACATAATTGACAGGCACAGTAAAAAACGGACACTTGAAACAAAACAAATATAGAAACAATTTTAAAAAACAAATTTATTCAATTTTTTTTACTCCAGCGATTATGAAAAACTTCGAAAAACTAATTTTAGTGTGTTCGAACATAAAGTTCACGGCTAATCCTTGTATAATAAGTTTTCTCGCTTGCTTTAATTTCTGGAAATTTAACTGAAATTTTTACCAATATTTCTCAACACTGGGCTGAGAGGGCTTTAATATGACATTATAGTCCACCCAGCCCAAAAATTATTTGTGGTACCGGATTTTGAATGGAAAACAAGAAATAACTAAAACACACCTGAATACAAACTTTCACCCCATCTACTTAGTTCGGAGCAATAAATGTTTCGTAAAAAAAACTAGATTTCAAAAGATCAGTTCACTTGTTTAATATTTGTGTCCATGTTAGCCGAATTTTTTTATTGTTTACAAAATAAGTTTTTTTTTGTAGTATAAGCATGAAAACCAGTGTTCAAACTCAAACATTGCTGAGAATGTTATAACAGGAGGTTGCTAATGTTCCTAGTTTTGAAAACCATAGCGGAGAATTTAGACTCAGTCTGGTTTTTTCTTCAATTGAATTTCGACTTTAAACAAAAATTTTAAAAATAGGTGAAACTTATCAAATTTCTGAGCTTATAAACAGAAAATTATATCTATTTTCAATTAAATGTAACAAGTTGTCGTAAAAATATTTAACATTGAAATTTGAAGCTTGATGTTTATGATAAATCTATTTGAAAAGTTCAAACTACAAGTTTCCAGAAACACCAGAGTTGATGATTTGTGTTTCTTAACCTGTGTTCTCGTTTCCTTGAATTGGTTAGGTTTTTTTTTTCCAAAAAATCCTGATTACAAATCGTTAAAAGTACCCCATTTGCTCGTCGTACATCAACTATATGACAACAAGAAAAAACAATCTGCTGCGGAAAAAACGTGTATCGTCACCTGTAAAAAGGTCTCCAAGTTGAGGACTCAGATATTATAATTTTCAGATGTCTTGTGGGGCTTGAAAATTGACAATTCAAAAATTAAAATCAGCTCGTAGCGATCTCAAATTTGTTTTCTTGGCCGGAAACAAACATTTGAAGTAATCTACATCTGGTCCAGTGCATCACTTTGCTGAAGGGTCTGTCCCATTTTGAAGCAAGAGCAGTTCTGCTTTTAGAAAAAACTCACAACTCCGAGTCCAGCATTTCACTAGTCGAAGCAACTTGTGAGTGACAGATACTTGATGGTCATTGCAGGCTGCACCAAACTTGTTTTCCTTTCTGTCTCAACAAACATCAGAAAAATAATTGGTAGCCTGCAGTCTTAAGAGGCGGTGTTAGTGTCAGCGACATGAATATCAAAAAAGCACCTCCTTTTCTTTCATAGACCCCAAGGCAAAACAGTTTGGCAACCAGCGCTGGATTAATACTCTCGGAAATATTTTTTTTTACTCCTAGTTCCTTTCGCCTATCTTCTCATACCATCGCTTCCAGATAATCTACTGCATCGCAGTTTGTATTTTGTATCGGTCACGAAAAATCCTTGTTCGCATGTCAAAATGAGTCAACTTTTGACATCTGCACTACTACAGAGACGACCCTTTCAATAAACTCATGCTGCAAGTAATAAAGCGAGCATCGCGGAAATAATGCGTTGAAAAATCGAACTGACCCACCATCAGTGTTAAGGCAATAAGCCGAGCAAAAATGTCACCTTCGTTTTTTCATCCGAAGTTTTTCGGTTCTTCCGACTTGAGATGGCTGTTTCCAGAATCGAATAAAACTATGCTTGTGATCAAAATTAGAAATGGCACTTTGGTCCACAATTGCTTCAAAGAAATATATTTCTTTCATACTAATTTCGTCAAGAAATAAGTTAGCTTGTGTGCTCTTTTTCCACAGGAACTCTCACCCAAATTCTTCCAATCATAGCCCTGTAACTGTACATATTTCTCGTGTCTCGGGGCATCGGGGCAAATTAAATCTATTTAATTTATTCTTAACTCGAGGTAAGTTGATCATTTCAGCTTGACATGACTTCGTAAGACCATAGTCAGATCACATTGCGATTTTTTTGGCCACTACAGAAATTTTTTCAGTTATTTTGTCCATTTAAGTTTTCTCAGCAGGAATTTTTTTTTCATGTCTAAAATCAACACAACTGCCGAGAAGCGCTTCTTTTTTGCAATTTGGATGTTGCAATTGTCTAATATCTGGTTCTGATGTGCGTCTTCCAGGATTGCCTGATAAAACATCTACTTTCAGTTGAATCTGGGTAGTTTGCGAAACTTTCAAAGTGAGCCTCTAAAGCCATTCCTTGAGCCCATATAGTTTTCCAATAGCCCAATTTTATTTTCTCATACTAACATTAGAGAAAATTGGCAAAAGTTTTCGGTTCTCTTTAACTATTTCCCCCAAAAACTCGACAAAAACGTAATCACTATGATTAGGCCATATCAACTCAACAATACTTTTGGGTTTTTGAAAAGATGTAGGTCTAATATCAAATTATAATCAGAAGTTTCTTCTGTTTTCATTTTTCAATTTCATTCCATAACTACCATGCAAAAAAAGTTTTCCCACTTCAACGAATTTCCTTAATTTTTCAAAACTGAGCTAGAGTCTATTTGAAAACGGCAAAATCATGGATACAAACAAGGTGTCAATTTTCTCCCTCGCCCAACTCGTTAAAGTTGAACCCTTTGTTGTATCCTAAACTTACCCGTTGTCATATTTTCCCATATGTCAACATTTTTTGGAAAATTGGAAGCATATTTCTGCCGCGGGGGATTTGATCTTTTCATAACTAGAATTTGAGTTTAACGCATTAACAACTAAACCATGAGACCTCTGATGTTGATGTGAATTATTGTTTGTTTTTGATTCTTTGATTTTTAATTACGCTGATTTTTGGTTTTTTAAAGCGTAAATCGTTTCTGTTGGCGCGAAAAGATCAGGGTCAAAAAATTCAAATGGTTTTGGAATGTATTGCATGATACTGTTTTTTTTTAAAGTTTTTTTTTGATTTTTGGGACTTTTTTGTATGAGACTGTTTTGTATATGCACCGCTTCTTTCACCTAGTTTGGAACAATTCATAAGACGGATTAAATCTCCGCTTAGACGTTAATAGCGCGGAAAATATAGCGCGTTAATTGTCCCAAATTGGCCAAAATAGAAATTATTAAGCCCCCATAACTTTACCAAAAGGTCAAAGGTGAAAAAAATTTTCAAATTTAAGCTCAAAACAGCAATATCTTTTGAATGATATGAAAAAAAAATTTCGTCAAGAATGGCTAGATAAAAAGTCAAAATTTGTCTTCAGAAAAAAACCACCCCGAGCAGAAATATTCCGTTACTTTCATTACGAACGTCGGAGCAAAATATGCAAACAGATTTTGCTTATGGAGATGCCACTCGACAGGCTGATGTCTTTTTGGCGTTCTATTAAGCCGCACTAGATTGTAAATCGTAACATTTCTTACAATGTTTGGCGATGAGTTGAAAACATCTTTGACTTTCTGTGTCTACTAATTAAAAAGCGAAATAATATTCTGTTAATTCAATGCGGAAAATGGGGTATTTTGTATGTTCTCTGTAGGTGTTGAAATTTGTGAAATCAATAAAGTGTGACGTGTTGCTCATAGTATTTTTTTTTTCTGGAACCAATATTCAAATCGCAACGCTAAATTTACAACATCACAAGCATTGACGAGCACCAACTGACGAGTTAGCAAAGCACAGTACGTTCGTCTATTTTTTAAAATATAAAAAACGAATAGATCGCACATGACGTTTTTTTTCATGAAAAAGCTTTTTATACTTGAAAACATTTTGACGTAAACACGTCATGTAAACTTGCTGCTAGCTTCTATCATACTATTGTTTATCAAAATTGTAATCACAAACTTTTTTGATTGAAAAAATGAATGCATTGCGAATCTCTGTGTTGATATGCTTTTTCGCGATCGGGGGTAAGTTTTGTTGTTTTTTCTGATAATGTTTATATCCTCAAAACTGATCAATTGATAGTGCGTCGCCAAAATTTCACAAAGTATGCCAAACAAAAATGATCGCGAATCGCTGTTTAATCCAGGATGAAAACATTAGTTTCAAAAATTGAGAGATCGTCCTGTATTTTCAGAGCCCTCTTCGTTAAGTCCTAATTTACATAGCCCACAAAAAAGCTTTTGAGAAACAAGATGTTACCCAAGAGAATAAACGTTGCGTTTGCCCCATTTTAAAACCAAAACAGTTTGTCTGAAATGTTTAGATACACAGACGTTCCAACAGAACTTTGACGCCAGAGTGAAAGAATTCACAGAAAAGTACCTGCCACTGAAACACCGGCCCAAAATCTCAGAGAGCACTGTCTACGTATTCGCAGACCTCTATAACATTATAGATTTGGTTGGTAAATAATAGCGAAAGAAACTTCATAGAACCCGTTTTTTTTCCATGAAAAAATGGAATTAAAAAAAACTTGTTTTTATCAATTTATCTAATAAACCATGGAACTCTCTAGAGCTGTGAGCAATTTTATTTGAATTTGCAAACGTTCTTAATTTTTTCTTCTATGTTTTGTAATTTTAACCTCGCTGACTTTGTATTTTTTCTTTTGTTTCGGTCGAAACCCTATTCGGCCTGAAAGGTTGCGACTTTTTTTATTAGCTGAGTCACCTTATTTTGTGTCCTTTTTGGTGACAAAAATTGATTGTTGTTTACTAAGAGGGACACGTGCTTTCGCGTAGCTTTTCTTATCTCTTTAGTAATTTATCATAATGCTATAAGTCTCACCTTATATTGTCAATTTTATTGACAAAAGCTATAATTGTCTTAGGTTCCAATTGCGATGGGATTAATACTTCGTTGTTACATTTAAACTAACACTTTATTTGCTTAGAGTCCGCGTCTAGATTGCTGATTGAGTTGACCTCCTTTTGTCTCTTAGCGCATTGGGTTCTCAGTTCTTCTAGATCCGTGTTGCTGCTTTTATTATTCCGGATCTTATTAAAATTCTACGATCTTATCTTAATAAATTTATTTAAAAAAAAGAAACAAAACGAAAAAAAAAATTATTCGGGAAAATGTCAAGTCTATAGGAAAATGTTAAAAATGAGAGTGGGAGTTAAAACGAATGAAAATTTTTGGACAGGTCCAATTTAAAACAAGAAAGCTTCAAAGTACTTTTGTCTAATTTTAAACTTCACAGGCTTTGTTTCTTTGGATATTTGTTTTAACTTCTGGTCTTAGGTAGGCTTTCAGTGGTCTCATTTTTGTGTCTTTTTTACGTTGTTTTAAACTAAAGAAGCATTTTTTCATTCAATCTTTGATTTGCAGGTGTTGTATTTCTTTATGTTTTTGTTAGACTGCAAACGGACCGGGTGCTTATTGCTTTTTTGCCTGCTTTTCAAGGTAGGGCAGTTGAACAGGTCAGCCTGTATAGCGACACAGTTTTTTTTGTTATCCGACAAAATAGTCCGTGAAAAAGTATTTGATATTTTAAAAAGGATCTTGAAAAAATTTTAAAAAAATGGACTAGTATTTAAATGGGTCATCAATTATGAAGAGGAAAAGAGTCCACTCTAATCTTACGAAAACAATTAAAACAATAGTTTTTTATCCGCGTAATTTTGGCAATACTACAGTTGGTCTAAAAAGCGTTTCAGGTTGTTTGTAGTGTAACAGTTTAGAGTTTTAGAACTTAATCACTCAAGTTTTTCATTTGACAACAACTGTTTGTTGCATTTTTTGTTTTCAGCTCGATGGGTTCCTCGCTCAATTTTTTGGCTCAGTGGCAGGTCAGTAAAAAACAACTGCTTTGTTAATGCTGATATATTTTATTTTCTACTATTTTTCTAAAATTGAATTTTTTCCCACAAAAAAAAAATCTTGTTTTTTCAACTGTTTCATACTTCCGTTGCTGTTCTTTCCGTATCGTTTTCTATTCGCTGGCTTGCATTGTTTGGCTACCTCTGCGTTGTATTTTAAATGATGCGAAGCTCTGCTTTGTCTGGGTGTATATGTCTGAAACAATCTATTCTTAGCCAATATTACATTGATAAATTATTTACTTCTGCCGAAAACATATGGTTCGAATCACAAGCTTATCACTGAACCAGGCATGATTCGAGAAGCTGAATAATCTGCAACCGTTCGCTAAGTTCTGAGTTTGTAGCAAATTGAAAGTCTTGTTCTCATTTTTAAATATGGTTTTGTATTATCATCGCCCTGAACGTAGCACAGATATGGTTCCAAAAGCACACATCACTGAAAAAAATGTTTCGCAATAAAAAAAGAATTTTTTCCTCAATGCAGTTTTGTCCATTTATTTTTCCAAGAAATCATACCTGCTCCCGGTAAGCCTGCAAAATTTATGAGATACGTTTTCCAAATTATAATAAAAAACAAAACTGAACAAACTTTTTTAAACTTAAAAAATTCAAAACTTAAAAAAAACGCACTGTGTCATAGTGCTTTTCACACTCTTTCAAGAATGGTCGTTACAAAACTGTAAGTCGCATCCTACAATTCCATAAAAAACAAATGCCAGTCATACAATCTCATTAAAAAAATCTAGGCCACAAAACAAGTTTTTTTTTCTGTGATGTATAATGTGTACGTAAATTCTACGACCCGCATGTTTTGTCAACACGACTTGATTTTTGCTGAGTTGTGCAAAAAAGTCTCGGTAGATAGTTTTTGTTTGCCAGTTTGTGAACACTACTTTCTTGACTGATTCCGCCAGCAGCTAATGAAACAATAAAAACAATTGGCCTCTTGAGTGTTTTAGTTGATCGCAAGAAACGATAAACAATGCTGTATAATAACTACGAAACTGCATTTTGAGATGTCTATTTTTGGCTGACTGACCTCAAAATTTTTCGTAAAGCGCCTTTGGCGCCAATCTATACAAATTTTGAGAGCGGAGCGCGCGCCATAAAAAACGTGATTTTACGGTCGAAATTCCTTCTTTTTAAATTTGACTGCGGCGCAGAAAATTTGGTCAAATTACGGTCTTTATTGTGATTTGGGAGAGCTCAGAAAATCAATTTGGTCAGTCTAAAAAAAAGGTCGACAAATTTTTTTTTTTTTTGAAAATCCGCCCCCCCCCCCCCACACACGAGAAATTCCTAAGTCCGTGCCAGCACAGCCACAATTATGCTTGTAAAAAGCTGATTCGTTGATTTGCTAGTTTTTTCTCTGTGTGACTGTTGTGACTGGCCATTTTTTGTTGCCGATAGAACGCGCAAGCAGAAACGATCACGACTAAATTGTGGAATTATGTGGCATATATTGTGGATGTGGATTGGGACGCATGGGACAACCTGACAGACTACTACATGTACGAATTCTACCCTGGCAAGAACAAGATATGGCTGCCCGACATTATTGTACTTAACAAGTAAGATCTGAGAATAAACAAGCATAAAAAATCATAAATATAACAAATATAACAAAGAAAACATTGAAAAAAAAATGCGTTCAATTACAAAAATGACTGCGCTTTTCTGCGCTTTTCCCTGGAAACAATTCCTAATTGTAATGATTCTGAGTTGATCAACCGCAGAAAGATCTAAAAGCGTCTTTGGCGTCAATAGATAATAAAACTGTGGGGGAGGGGAGTCTGCGCCGAGAAAATAATAATTTGGTCAAAGTTTCAGAAGATTAATAAGGTTTTTTGGATTAAGTTTCAGACTATTGTTGAGGGTTTTTTGGTCTAAGTTTCAGATCGTGGAGGGTTGATATTGTTGATAGCCTTTTATTTGTTGACCAACAGTAAATTTTTCTACTAGCACTTTTTGTGTTTTAATAAAAACTAAAAATGAGGAGGGAGAGCACGCGCAAAAAAACCAATTCTTCGGCCTAAGGCTAAGGAGGGAGAGTTGCCGGTACCATATTTATTACGATAGGAGAAAATCTTCCGGGAACGCTGGCTATGTAATAATATAGGTAATAGATTTTCAATCTTTAAGATAGGTAATAGGTTTTGCCATGTATTAGGGTACAAGGTTTGAGAAAAGTTTTTGGCGTCCAAGTTTTCCAAGACATGCGTTTTCAAAGCAATTCCTGCGATTTGAGATATGTAAAAGCTATGTTTTGACTTTTGTTGTTTATATCTGAAAGTGCGACAAAACTATCTTAACCTATACTGAAACCTATAAGAAACTTCGAGGAAAAAATCCAGTTTTCGGAAAAGTGAAATTTTAGACGAAATAGATGAAATATAAACTGCTGCTTTGTATAATCATGTTACCGCAAGCTTACAGTTAGTTCATCAATAATGCATTGAGCCCAGTTACGCTCTCTGTTATTTAGTTAAAGAGTTTTGTCTGTATTCTTTTATATTGTTCTTTTCTGTTTGGGTGAAAATAACTCAACTTTTTCTTCGTCGGCTCGTATGATTAATGGTTCTAAATCTTCTGTTTGTTGATGTCAACTTGATTGCTTCATCAAGGACTTTTCTGTGTTTTGCGATCAGTTTATCTCCGGATTCCTCTAGAACTCGTTTGTTTAATCTTTTTGCTGCTACACTTTATCTTGTCTGATTTATAGTCTTACCAACAATAAGTCTTGCAACATGAACATGGAATCTCCGTATGGCTAAATTTTTCTTTAATTATTCCAGGCCAAAACTGAGGGGGCATAAAAGCGCGCGCCAAAACAATGCCTTTTTTTATTTCAGTTTCGGAAGATTGTTGAGGACTTTTTTGGCCTAGCCTTTAGAAGAAAGTTAAGGATTGAAGTTTTTGAGCTCCTTGATTCGTTGTTGATCATCCGTAAAACTTTCCTACAAGCGGCTTTGGTATCCTTAATCACAAAAATTGAAGGGAAGCGGAGCACGCGCCGAAAAATGCAATTTTTGGCCTAAAATTTGGAAGAGTGTTGAGGATTTTTTGGTCCAATTTTCGAAATTTTTTGAGATCGTTGGGCGCCTTTGATTTATATTTGACCAAACGTAAAAAAAAAATTTCAAGCGACTCCGGCGTCAAAAAATGCTAAATTTGAATGGGTAGCGCGCAGAAAGTGCATTTTTTTTTGCTTTGAGTTTCATGAAGGTTTTTTAGCTAAATTTCAAAAAATTGTTGAGGATTGAGAATTTTTTTTTGAGTTCAG